AGTGGCCAAAAAAAAGTTTAGTCATGATTGAGATCATACAACGGTACAACTTAACGGCTATTTATAGTTCAATATAGCCTATAGCCTATGCGTTTTGAGATGCTTCCGGAAAATACTTGGTAATTGGTATCTCCAACAAAGATCACTTCACAAAAGATGAAGTCAAACAATGGATCAAAAATGAAATTGAACCATATTCTGACCTTTTCACTCCGGTCAGGAAACACAAACTGCAATGGTAGCCTAGCTAAGGCATGGACATCACCCATTCATCTGGCCTTGCCAAGATGATCCTGTAAGGCAGCGTCCAGGAAAAAAGCAACAGGAGGCAGACCAAGGAAGAGTTGGGAGGATAATATCAAGGAAAAGGACAGGTCTGGAACTCAAAGACACGCTCTGAAGTGAAAAGCTTAAAAACTGGAAAGAGTGGAGGAAGCTGATGGCCAAATCTTCAAAAGCGCCCCGCGGACATCCAGTTTACGGATATGTGAAGAAGAAGGGGAAGTGTGAAGTGTTTATTAGGCATTCTTGTTATTTCTCGACAATGATCTCCGTGAACAGTCAAATACTTTTTCCATCGCTGCATAAGTAGATGTAAGCTATCCTTGTAATTGTAGAATTTTGCGTCAAGCGTACAAAGACAGTCTCTGACGTGATCCTCAAGGTTTGTGCCATTCTACATGTATACAAAATGTATCTACTCCACAGCTAGATGGGCATTTTTTTTTCACATGGGCCTAAACAAGTGTAATCATTCGTTTGAATAATAATATAAGCGCATCTACAAAATAATGGCCATTTAGCGTTTGGAAAAAAGTGAGACCGACAGAAACAACACAGAGAAAGTAAATTAATAAAATAGGTAGGACCTACCACTACAAATTTTAATGGCGCCCTCCAAACACCCGCTAAACAGATGCATGTCATGAAGGGGCACGATCAAGACTGTTGCGTAATGCAACAAGCTTTCAACAGGTTCTTAGTAGTAAAGGGCATCAGCAGGCCCATGCCACCAAGTCAAGCGTATGTTGCTTCCATCTTCCCGACAATGTCGTGCAAAGATCGAACTGAATTTGACTTTGTGGTCGTCTGTCAAATGTTTTGAAACCCACCGAGCGGACATTTTTCTGTATTCCAGCTTATAACAGATACATGTAATTCTACGAGCTGTTGATTTACAAAGATTTGGAGAATATTGTACATATAATAGTATGCAGTCATGAATTTTGAGACTCCTGTCATCACTAAATTTAAATTATACATTTTCGAATTTACCCTTTTTCTGTCTGTAGGCCCTACTGGCAGACAAGGCAGTCTCCAATCCGCTCGCAGTGTAGTTTTGTATTATGCCCTTCATTGAACAAATTAAATTTTGTACCAAAGGCAGATCTTTGACTCTGACTTCATCTCACCATAACAGCACTTTTTTGTTGTTTTAGTTTTAGTAGATGTTTAACGGCGCCCGCAACTGCATAAGGTCATACGAGCGCCGGAAGATAAGAGGTGTTAGTGTTACAAGAGAGCACAGAATCCTACACTTAGTGTAGAATTCTGTGCAAGAGAATAACAAACATAAAAAAAGGGGAGATAAGGACGATAGATGTTTCATAGGAAAGAAGGAGCAAACCACACCAGAGCACCCACCAACCACCCTAACTACTTTTTTTGTTGTACTTCCTGAATTTTAGTGGGATTTTCTATTGGCCGCAACTAGGCTAGTGCTTTTGTTTGTTTAAAATCACAAGTAGTTAGACACCATTTCACTATGATGATTGTAAAAAATGGCATGATTTGAGTTCTTGAGATTTACTTATGTTGTATGGTGATACAGTATGGTATGGCTAATAAAGCCAGCAAGGGAATAAAAATTAATGTTGATTTGCACTTGTAACACAAAAAGGTCATTTAGTGCCAAAGATTAGAGCAGGTGTAGCAAGGCAGTAAGAAACACTAAAAAGAAAGAGGAGAGATTTAAGGATGATACATGTAGACGATTGAGTTAGATAGGAAAGAAGGTGCAAACCACACAAGAGCATCTGCCAACCACCCCAAAGAAAAATTAAGACAATCAGGAGTAGGTTACACTGTTTTTCAGGTCGAGGTCCAGAAAGCAACAGGCAATCAATAATTGGCACACAGACTGTATCCATTACCGATCATCCTCCCTCATTTCCTGTGCCGCTTGAGTCACAAAGAGAATGTTTCACACATTAATCGGTTAATTTGGTACATGTGTCATGCTCAAGTGAGGGTTATCGAGCTTCGTACTCAGATGAGAAGTTGTTTAGTTCTCTAGGCGTACTTCATAACATCCAGAATCAATCAATAACACTGATGATAGTAACATTTTGCTGCGAATGGAGTAGGATGAGATCGTGACACGACTTGAAAAATAGAACACAGAACGGACAAACACTAAAGCACTGGTACATGTACAAGAACAAAAACCATAGAACTATAAAAACAAAAAATCAAAATTGTCTGAAAATAAAGAATAAGATTAATATATAATTCCAGTTTTATTCAGCCTTTCCTCAAGAACAAACAAGCAATGGTAAGCGTTCAGCATCAATATCACAGGGGAACGATGGATTCATTTTTACGTACCAAGGGATGAAAACAAATCCATCTTTAGCCAATCATTCAATGATGTCAAAACAAAAACAAATCTTTCAAGTCAGAACTATCTTGATCCCAGTAAGAGCTGTCAAAAGTGTTATTATTATTAGATTCCACAGACAGACTTTGCTAATCTATGGGTTGGACGTAGCATCTTTAAAAGTAAAAGATGGGTATGTCTCCCTATTTTTCTCTGCCAATCCTACTGCTGCAAAAGGTTACTTGGCAATTAGCAGTAAAAAAATAAATTATAATAATGCATAAAAGGCTACAGTGCTGTATGTCCTCCCCCTTGGGAGCTGAGACAGTTAATTTGAGTAAACATGCCCATTAAAGAAATTCGTAAGGAAATGTGAACCACCTTTTGTAATGGGTTAATAATGACTTCTTCAAGTCCCATTCACTTGCAAATTTGAGAACGGTCTCTCACATTCTAATGCTTAACACTTTGCAGTCACACAGCCAGTTAAAGGGCCTTCAAAATACCCCATCTGGTCACCCAGCCAGGAGAGTGACTGCAACAGACCTCTCGGGCCTGTAGCAGAGCTGCATTAAGTGACCGGAAGGGATAATTTTCACTGTCGCATTAATGCAGGAAGTGACCACAAAGTGTTAAAGTTAATAGCAAGAATCTACTTCTTTCAAACGAACACCTGTAGTAAAGTTTATATCTACTACCGGTATCATGTTTTTGCAGATATCAGAAA